TAATAATTAAATGTAATTAATTACAGTATAATTTTCCTATATAATTTTAGAATCAATAATTATAATTATTAATGCGCTGCAATCCAAAATGTATATAACGCTTGAAAATATATCTGTAATGTATATGTGCATTGCAAATATATGTTATTGATAAATACCACAGAATATTGCGTCAGTATTACTATTATTAGTATATGAACAAATCACTTAATCAATTTTACTAAATGAAAAATTCCGGACTTTGTGGTATCTGATCATTGAGGCTGTTTTTATATCTAACAATTAAATAATTTTATACTACTTCATTGCGGGTAGTAATAAGATGCATTGATATATTATCAGCCATCGCATCGCCGACATGTTTTCGCATTATCGGTGTTTGCGCGATCAGAATTACGAGCGCATTTCTTAATAAGAATCCGCAAAGTTGAATCTGAAACAGCCGTTTAATCGTATGTTTTATTTTATTACCTCGAGTCGTGTATTTTTTAAAGAAGTTTTATGCTGTTCTTTGATATCCGGTTCTGACGTTCTCTAAAGAAAAATTGTATATCCTTTTCATGCAATTCGTAATATACACAATTTTCAAGAAATCATTAATTATAAAAAAATTCTATGAATCAATCAAATAAATATAAATTGTAGATAAAAAAGGATACAAATTTGTATTTTTATAGAAAATAAAATATCATTTTTTTTTTATTTATCATGTCATCATATAAGTATTTATAATTTTTATAGTAAAAATATTCTTTTAGCATTTAAAAATTCTTACTGATATTGATTTTTAAGAAATACATTTATAGAATACAATGTTTTGTTATTTAAATGATGAGTAATTCTTTTGGAAAAATTTACTTTAAAAAATTTGAAAAAATAATTAAAATACTGTAGTGAAAACTTAAGAAATGAAAATAAATTTAAATTTATAAATGCCAAGCAGGCTGCACGCAGATTGGTGAAATAAAAGGGGCAGGAACAAAGCTAAAAATCGACCAAAATATGCAACTAAATCCCAGCATTGCTTTAAAGTAACTTTAAAATTTACTTAAGAAAATAACTGAAAGAAAGCACTAACGTACTATGCTGATTATATTAAAAAAACTTGAAAAACTTTAAGTTATTTTGGTGGTTTAACCTTTAAATTACCTCAAAATTTTTTAAACTCTTAATTATTTTAAAAAATTTTAACTTCGTTAAAAGTTAATTTCCCTAAGGGGAAGTCAGATATTGTAAGTCTAGAAATATATAGCCTAGAAAAAAATAGGAGGTAGTACAACAAAAACAAAGAAATATAATGCTTACATTCAATATCATGTATGTACAAGTCCGATCGGCGGCGATTTCTTGCCTGGCCTGCACTGGTCAGGTGCAATACGTCAGTGCAACCCCCTACCCCTCATATTGTGCTTGGCTTATGCAACAATTGTTTGCGGGCGACCTTTGATGCGATAAAACTTTCTCTCTTCCCCCCCGCAGAAAATTAACGATATGCTTTATTGTTTGACGTGCTCCAATATCGCTGAGCCTATCGTTGCACTGATGTAAAACCGGACTCATGGCCCTTTCGAAGGCTCGAGGGTGTACCTCCTGCCCTCTTTCCCATGATTAACGAGAATTTTTCTGCTAATTTAATAACGGCCTGCTGTCGAATCGAGTTCATGGCAGACCATTTGTAAAACGGCGATTATCCGGAGTGGCGTCGAAGTAACAGGAAGATAACGCTTGCAGCGGACAGTGATATATGGCGCCGTTTATTTAACTATTAATCCTTTTTTCACTATTTAATTGCAAAAAGGAATTTTTGTTGCACTTATATTTTAAATTATACCATGAATTAGGAAAAGCAAACAAATATATATTAAAATATATATTATTCATATATATTATTCATATAATTTTTATCGACAAATATTTTTTCAGAATCTAAAAAAAACAAGGTCGATTCTAAATTATGTTAGACTTATGTTTCTTTATTTATTTACTTCGTCTCATTTGTACTCTTTCTCTTCTTACTATTTCGTCAATCACGGGACATATGATAGGTTGCTACAGAAAGGGACTGAACAAGAGATAAACTGGACGGAAAAAAATGTCTTCATGTTTTTACGTAATGCTGCAACCGAAAACCGTCGTCGCAGAGTCGAGCGACAGTGAAAGTTTCGTCATATGAAATTTAAGATGTGCAGAAAAAGCACGCTGTATCATATCAATGAATCAAAATTAATATATTATATAATATTAATGGGCCGTATATTGTTACATATATTTAAACGTTTAAAGGCGGAAAATTACATTTACGTATATAATATATTAAATACGCTAAAAGCGTATAGTTATATCAGCGATATATGCCATGCAATATCTTTTACATTCATGGGGATTAATTGTATCGAGTTTGGCTTAAGTTCAAGTTAACTAATTCTAGGTTGAGTAACTCATTATCCTTTCGAATTATAATCCTATCCATAATGTAGATGAAATAACAGGATTTTACCAGATAAAGTATCTTGGCTTTACCTTCAAAGTGAAATAATCATTTTGAAAGAGAGAGCCCACGGATTTACGAGATCTCAATTTAAAAAATGACAAGATTACATGTATCTTTAACGTGGTAAAAAATTGTTGCGCGAAAGTTCCTATTTTGTTTTACTGAAAGAATCCAGTTCTACAAATTAAAAGAAAATAGAAGTAATTTATCAATAATAAAATCTTTCTATCGATTTTATCTTATTTATAATTCTCAACCCTTCTAATTTCTTTCAACGAAAGAAGTTCTACAAGAAATCTAATAATTCCACATTGTTCTTATGCGTTAATCCAAACGTTTCATCGAGAATAACGGTGTCTCCTGCGGGAGATTGATAGATCGATTTTTAATTCCCACCGACGCAAGTCGATCGCGCAGTCTAACAAAGAATTTTCGTGACGAGTTCGCTAGAAAAATCATTTTAGAAAGGCGTATTAGCTACGCGTACCTCTACCTTCTTGCCAGCGGTACTATTGCATTGCTATAACTGCTCCTACATCTCTATTTACGTGCGTATGTGTGTGAGTGAGCGAGGTATCGCGTATAGATGTGCGATACACGTGTAATTCGTCTCGGCGAGATGCAATGCTGTGAGAAAAGACTCCACCGGTATAAAAGGGGGTGTGTCTCGTAAGATCCGCATCAGTTTCAGTAGTGTTCTCTGCATCGCCACACCATTACCGCCACCATGAACGCTATAGTGAGTTTCTAGTTCTAATTCTCTACTTCTTCGAGTAACTAGAATCGTCACGATACTGCATTCGAGGGAGATCTCGTGATTTACCAATATTTGCGGAAAAATAGTTCACCCCAAGGAGAACAGGAAAGTCAAAATAATATTCAATTTGATGTTATTGACTTGAATTTGTATCATTTTTTTGTCACGATTCAATCAATATAACATTATTTTGACTTTCTTGTTTTCCTTCCTAATTGGAATTTTACGCGCCCCGTAAATAGAATTTATTACAAGATATTTCTGATATAATTTTTTGATTATTTCACTATATGATACTAATATTATTTTTTTTATTATAGATATTCTAGAATGATTTTAATTTTTTTATTTATGCTCACATATTTTCTGTATTTTTATGAAATATGGTATTCATTGTTCGAGATATTTTAAAAAATGTTTTTCTTTTTACATCCATTATAAAAGATTTTAGATTTATTTATTTTGTGTTGTACTAGATGCGCACACAAAACACAAAAATTATTTTCTTTCTCGCTTTGTGTAAATATCAAACATGTATATTATATGTGTATAAACATGTATATTCGTTTCTGCTTTAAATAGAAAAAATTAAATTAGTTTAGATAAGAAACGGACATACTGTCAATCGTTTTATGAGAAATATAAAACATAATGTATACTTAACACAATATGCTTTTAACTACTTTACTTACAATACTTAATTAAATAAATAAATTCCTTGCAGCTTGTATTAGCCATTCTCAGCCTGGCAATGCCTATTTATGGCGAAGAAACACAAGTAGAAAAGAAACAGGAGAAGAGGGGTATCTTAGGATTGGGTTACGGAGGATATGGAGGATATGGTGGATTAGGAAACTCTCTGATTGCGGGATCGGCTTATGGAGGTAATTTTCGATTAAAAGACCTTGATGCCCGATAATTTGCACGGATGCTTAATTTTATCTCGATTGTGAAGGTTATGCCCTTTCGATTTCAGGTCACGGACAAGGTTATCTCGGTGGTATTTCTCCGGCGGCAATTGCCTTCTCAGGTCACGGCATTTCCGCACCCGCCTACAGCAGCGTGCCCATAGCATCTCATGGATATAACGCTCCTCTGGCTTATCGTATTGGTTATTCTGGTGGGTACGGTGGTGCGAATCTAGGAGGACTCGGACACGGTGCCGCAGGAGCCGCAGGTGCCGCAGGAGCCACAGGTGCCGCAGGAGCCGCAGGAGCCGCATATGGCACCGGATTGGGATACGGCGCGAGGGGTGGTCTTGGACACGGTGCGGGACTCGGATATGGTGCTGGACTTGGATATGGCGCGGGATTGGGACACGGTGCTGGACTCGGTCATGCTGGTCTAGGTGCCGGTTACGGTACCGGTTACGGTGCCGGTTACGGTCACGGATGGTGAAGACACGGCGCCTGATCAATTATCTGACACACGTTGTGTCGCGAAACGTCCATGAAACGTCCTTCAATTTCTCTTGTCAACTTTATCCTAATTGGCCTTACTATTCTCAAGTTTTATATCGTGCGACTTCCAAATAAATTTTATATTTTTTAGTAATCGGCAGTATCTTTTTTATGACTCCATTCTTACGGCGAGGATGAATTAAAATCAGTGATCTCTTGGAAATTAAATTGATCAATCTGTAAAATAAAAAGCAGAAGAAATTAATGAAATTAATAAATTAATCACTTTAATTTAAAATTAAGAAATTTATAAAAAATGAATTGATCAATTTTGGTTCCTTAGAGATTATTATGTGACTATCATATGTTAGATGTGTTTGTTATGAACAATTAATATTCTTATATCAGTAAGTACAATACAATATTTTTTCTCTTTTTCTTCTTTTTTTAGATTATTTCTATATTTGTGAAATATTGTTTATAAAATATTAATACCATTTTAATACTATTATTTAATATTATTAATATGTGTTTCTATTATCTAATATGTGTTACTATTTTCTTAAGAAGTGCATTTTTAAAGAACCATCTAATGTATACACATGTAACATCTTTATATCTGAACATATGTAATATCAAAAATAAATAGACAAAATTATATTTTTATAAAATAATAAAACGGAATTAAATACAAAAACCAAGAAATATGAATAATAAAATTACATAACAAATTAGTTTTTTAAAAGTCGATAAAAGTCGATAAAGTCGATAAATAAAATTTCTACTTTATGTACTTACTTTATGTACATTAGTTGCCACACTTCATCACTAGGTGGCGTTAATGACAATCATATATTCAAAATAGATTAAACAACATTCGGTGAGGTTAAGTTACTCTAAGAAACGTCTATTAATTACGTTAATCATGAATTTCCTGGCAAAAAGTGTAATGAATATAGCGAGAACTTGCATAGCAAATACCATCCAAAGTACGATCATTGTGCGATATGATATAATTAATTGTTTAGTTTTCTAACCTCTAATTTAATTTCTGAATAAAGAGTGATTACTGTCATAATAAATGCTTTTCTAAAGTTTTTATTTTATTTATATATAATCAAATTATTTTAGTTTTAACAATATAATCTGATTACCTTATTTATTTCAGGTAACAACCTAACTACGAAATTTTGTAGGGACAGTTATAGCCAAGGTAATATTTCATAATGTCAATTTATTTAACAATGAACTCAAATCTTGTACTTGCCATTAGCAGGAAACATACTGAATGCCACAAGGATAGGTGTGAGCACAGCACTGCAAGGTAATAAAATTTTTAAATCTCTATGCAAGTCATAATCATAAGTGTAACATAGTAATCATATCACTTTCCAGCAAGTGACAGTGTAACATAGTAATCATATCACTTTTTGTTTAACATTAGAAAACAACAAGAATGTAATGATTCATTGTGCTCTGTCATTTGTATAATGTGAATCCTCTGTTTTATATATCGAAATTCAAAGCAGAAAGTAATTTTATTATAACAATTGATTTATTGTCACTTGAACTTAGTGCTAGAAATTCAAACTAATATTGACAGAAATAAAAGTTTTTATTTTAAGATTGAATGACTGAAAAAAAATCAAGGAAAACGTTCTTAATTTTAAATGACTTGTTATGAACGTTATTTCTAAATGGAATGTTATTTTAGATATTTTTTTAAGTATTATTTTTAAGTATTATTTTGTGATATATTTTTGAAATACAAAACTCAATTTTATTTCCGTTTTTACCATTCTTAATTATTAAAAACTAGTGTAATCATTACAAGATATCAATTTGTTTAAATTTTTGAAAATTGTATATATATATAATTATTAATTGTTTATAATATTATAAATATTTAACATGATATATTTGATTTCGTGATTATATACTCGAATTTCTTCGTGAAGGACATATGAGGAATGTTCGAAAATAAAAAAATCAAGATAAATGAATATATTAGTAGTTTGATGACTTATTTACGTGAAATTGTGTGAAACGTTAAAGGTGTCGCATTTTTTTTAAGCGTGACTAGATTGGTCCTCTCCGAACCGTCTATAATCGCCTATAGATACATATCTTCGCGATTTTCTGCTTGGATCCGGATTCTATCAAAGAAGTGGTCGAATCTCATAGGAAGTCGGCTAGATTCCCATCGTGGCCGGAATTCTTCTGCCGCAAAAATACATGCAGCCCTCACCTCTTTGATCCCCATGGACATAGATCTCCAAATACCAAAGGGATCTATTCGTCCACTTCGCAAGAAAGGGCTCGCGCTGCGTAAAGACGGAGCCCTTGTGACCACTAGCGAAAATCGCTGGGAATTGAGGGGTGTGACGTGTCCATTTGCGGTTGACCAGTTGTTGCTATGGGATCAGGCACAATCCGCGTGTTTCCCTCTTTCCGCTTTTCTCGCAACCCTATAAAGGGTGGGTCTGTGATCCATTCATGACAGCATTCGAGAGTGTTCGCAAACGATGTCTTATCAGAATTAGAGATCTTGCGTTTCGTTAATTTGATGTCTCGGACAGAACTTTCTTGTTTACACTTAGTTTCTGTATTATAAATGTCTATATTTCTAATATTTCCAGCGTTTCGATTTCTCATCCAAACTGTTGAGTTTTTCGTATAATATATTCGATAAAAAGGACGCTCATTGTAGAACAGTCTTTATGTCAGTTTTCGAGAATGAAAGTTGTCGGAAGTGACATTGATAATTTCAGAACAATTTGCCTGCCAGAGCCTTAATATTCTACGATCATGCTAAATCCTATGTTGTATACTTTCGTAAAAAAAAATTGCAAATGAATAAATAAAAAAGTATTTTTTAGTTAAATTTTTTAAATTAAAATAAAACGAATTAATTTTTTATGAAGACCAACTCCAATCATATGTTTATTTCGACTTTGTGAATATTTTTAAATATTTTATATGAATAAACATAACCGTTGCTTTATATTCACATTTGTAATTCAAATTAATTTGATGTAACAAATTAATTTATTGGCAACTTACTGATCCCAATTATTATGATGTAATTTTTATGACTAAGGATGAGAAGAAGAATTCTGAAATTCGCATTTTTTCAGTAAGATCGCAATCATAACAAAAAAGATTTCTCGAAGAAACGAAGGAAACAGGGAAAGAAAGGAAGAGGATTTGCGACGTTGTAACGATGCAACAAAGCGCAATACCGACGTCGAAAATTTTCGCAATGTAATCTTACGTATTCATCAGTAAGAAAAGGGTTTGCCTTTCGTACATAATAGCGTCTGGCAGAGTGAGGAGGAGTTAGGACGGATTAGTCACTATGCCGCTGGACATCTGTCGTTTTGATGGACGGTGGTCAGCCAACTCTCTCGATATGATCAATGGTGTACTTTCTTTAGGTAAATCTTGATGATCATAGAATGTCACGGCTCTGGCAGGCAACTCTAAAATTGTCCATGTCACCTCCGACAGTTTTCGTTCTCGAAAACTGATCACTCCATAACGAGCATCCTTTTTGTCGAATATACTGTCATACGATACTCGTTTTAGGTAATCTTTCGAAGCAAACGTGAATATTTTGCGACCAAATATTATTCTTTTTTACAAGACGTTTTATTTTGTAAGTATACCGATAATATTGCGTGCTAGAAGCAAATGCCAAAATTAATTTATTTATTCATTATATTTTATATAAAAATCAAAATTTTTTAATTTGGAATGATACACTTTTTTTTTAAATTAAATTTCTTAAATTGTGTGAATTAAATTTACAAGAGATATTAGAATAATATTATAATTATATTATAATTATGAACCGTGAATAAATTCGTTACGTCAATTGACACAATGATGTTTTTGAATGTATAATGCATTTTACGAGAGACATATGTTAATTTTCTTTTTACTAGCATCTTGTAAATCAACAATTTTGTAAATGTGCGGTCAAAAAAGATATCAAACATTAAAATTTCGATAGGTTTAAAAAAATGCTTTTACTCGATTGTGAGAATTGCTACGTCATTTATCTTACTTTTCTAACCAGAAGGTTTTGTTCCTTTCTTATGTTGATTGTTGACTTATTTATGAAAGTTTTCATTCTCCACTCATCACATAGTTCTTCCATTCTTTCGGAATCTCTTTCATCTTTTTTGTGATTTTGAAAAGAATCTTACATATTTCGCAATTTCTTTTTATGTTATTCTTCTTATGTTATTTCTTTTTATGTTATGATTATTTATTTTTTTCGTAAATATTAAAAAAGCAAAATATCATGCTTATCTTGAATTCTAAATACATTCTAACATATATTAATAACAATATATTAATAATTGGCAATATCTTTGAATAATGATTAAAAATTATGAAAATTTATCGAAACATGCGCGAAGTAATAAATAAATTCCGCCAATTATATTTAAAGATGAAAATGTTGATGATAGAAAATTGTTTATAGATATTTTTCGATTGTCATAATAAGATTAATAAGAATAAAAGACTCCTGATTTTAATAAACAATAAATATAATAAAGGACATGTAAGAATCTAAATTATCAATTTTTATGTTGAGAACAATGAAAGAGTATATTACATAATGAATATTATTGTATTAATATTATAATAATATTCATATTGTAATAATATTCATAATAATATTATTATTATTATAATTATTATAATTCAGTATATAATAAATTTTTAAAATATATTTATTGTCATAATAAGATCGATAACTCTATTTTTCTGAATTATTTTCTACCTGATTACTGGAAACGATTACGTGATCATTTATATCGATCTAGAATTGGGACAGATTAGATTTGGAAGTACCTTATGGCAAATGCATAGAAGAGGCGGACCATACAGAAAGCCCAAAGTTTCGAAGAATCCTTTCGATGGTGCACCATATATGAAAGGCGTAGTTTTAAAAACTGTTATTAGAAAACCGAAGAAGCCTAACTCTGCAAATCGAAAATGCGTCGTTGTGAGATTGTCGAACGGAAAAGAAATGACGGCGTATGTTCCCGGTAAGATGTCGAAATAATTCTAACTTACAGCACTACTGCATTCGAGTCATTGTCCCGCCAGGAAACTTGAGGCGTTATATCGTACGCGTTA